ATTTTTCCTCATTATTGCACAGAATCAGGTGCTTTGGACCCTGGTTTCATGCATAATTCCAGGGGGGAAAAGATGTCGCAGCTGTGCTTTCCCTATGGCTTGGTATCAAAGCACCATTGTCCATGACCAGCATATCTGATTGAATGCCTTAGAATTCTAGCATTGCCAATGCCAGAAAGTCTGAGTACACTTAAGGCAACTATTTAGAATGCAAACAAACTTGAGCTTTTGTGAGATCCTAAGCTCACCTCAAAACCAAAAGGGTTTCAGAGACGTTTTTAAAGCTTCAGGTGCTGCTCTGGCTTATTAAATGAGTTTGGCAAACTATAAAACAAAGAACAAAATAGCCCCTTTAACCGTGGATGCTGCCTCCAGCTTTTGTGTTGTCACAGTCCGAGGAGGCACTGCCAAACTGATCCGGGGATATTTCGCAGAGAGAAAAGTGGTGCCAGAGTCTCTTAAAATCTTTTCAGTTCTTCAAAGTTCTTCTTCAAAGTGATAGCTAAACTGGGAGACACCCAACCTGAGACAAAAGCACTGTCTGCATTCCTACAAAATGGCTGACAGTCAGCCATTTTGTCATTTAGATTTGCTTATAGGAAGGTTGCAGCGATTTAATGTTAAGTTTGTGTGACTGATTTTAATTAAACAGCAAGATCAACAGCAATTAAAGCTCTTTAAAATACACACTATTTTTTTTTTAAAAAAATGTATTGTGGCTGTAGTATCAATATTTGACTACTTTCTGGACTATATCCCCTAGGGGTGTTGTGTTGTTATTTTTTAAAAATCTTTTACTAACATCTTAACTATTGTGTGCATATAAGTACAGGAGTGATATATATATTCCAACAGTGAGGAATCAAAACATGGAGATGCAGTGAAGTATCTGTAAAAATTTTCTAACAGCAACAAAACCTTCCAACATTAATATGTATTTAAAATTTGCATGCATTTTTGCCTTTGTCCAAAGTTGCTAATGAACACATGTAAAATATCCTGTCACTATTATTCTATATTATTCTAACAGAAAAGTTGCAAATAATCATACAAGAAGAGCAAGCATATGAGTATATTTGTAGCTATGAAATAAAATCTAATTCTGTGCTATAGAAAACCCCAGTCCAAAGGTGGCAGTGCAATTCTCTTGTCCCTTCCCTTGGTGATATTTATCTGTCTGCACAAAGTAGGGTATGTTGGCCTTACGGTTGGACACAGTCTATTTATTTCTTCTTATTATTAAATAGATTTTTGAGTAGGTGACAGGGAGGGGGAGCCCTGCTTGCATTTGCTTGTATGGCTCTAACTGCCCTGATAGTCCTTATAAAATGTAAAAAGGATGGTGGTGGTGATCTTGCTAAGATTCCTCTTCATCAATATGAAGCATCCTTCCCTCTATCTTTTAAAAGGCTTTATAAAGATTCCTGCACTATTGAAATGCAGTTTTATTAAGAATGATCACAAAATACTTTAAAGGAAGATTACAAAATGTGGAGCTTGGGAAAAATAGTGTATACACACACACACACACACACACACACACACTTATATAAAGACAAAGAGAAAGACAAAGAGAAACAGAGAGAGAGGCCATGCTGGCTGGAGTATTCTGGGAGCTATAATCCAAAAAGTAACTTTTCCAAACTGACAAAATGGTATGGGTCAGCACCACTGATGTCACAAGTATAAGTACCAATGATAAAAAGTTGAACTTTCTCAGCAACGTAGTTTAGCAGTCAGATGTTTGGCAATCTGAGACAACACAATATCTCTGCAACAGAAGAAACAGCCAGAAGGAAGATATTTGAAACACCACCACAAGAAAGTGGCTATTTCACATGAGTGAATAATAATTGGATGTAGTAATAAATAATATTAGGAAAAGCACTTAAGATGACATTGTCATTCGTATTTTTCAGGAAATAAATTAACTCATCAGATAGCTCAACAGGTTTTCTGACCCCTCAGTTCTTAAGAAAAATAATACAACCTGTAAACATGCAAGGGTAGCTGTGTTAGCCATTTAGCAAATTCAAACAAAAATCCACCAAACAGTGATACCTTTATTGGCCAAACAAAATGCACAATATACTTGTTGCAATCTTTCAAAACTCCAAGTACAACCTGTGTTATAGTTTTATAAAAGGCTCAAAGGTGAAATTTCCCCTTTATAAATGTAAACATAAGCCAATTCAGAAATGAATTTGACCTTGGTAAATGCATTAAAATGAGTGATAGTAATCACAATAAGTAATGAATTAATTGTTCAAGTGCACTAATTTATAATGTAATCCCATATGTGTCTTCTCAGGTGAGTTCCATGGAACTTTGCCCCAGGAAAGTGAGTATAGGATTGGGGCTTATATATATTATCAGAACTTTATTACCTTCAACACTTTTCACTATAATTACAAATATCCACATCAATTTAACTGTTCCTATCAATGTAAACAATGTAAGCAAAAACACAAATCATAGTTCCAGATTTGATACTACTAATTTTTAAATTGTATTTATTAATTTACAATGTAAAAAAACCAGCTAATTGACCAATTAGACTTCAACATGTTAAAGCCCTTTCTATTCTGATAAAAAGAATTGCTCAAAAAGTATCTTTCTGTACAATATATAAAAACGTCCATATAATGTAGATATTGTTCAATATTTCTTTTTGAAAATATACTACTTATTTCTGACTCTTTATTCCAGTAAAGCATCTTTCACTCTCAGTTTCTGCTGTGCTTTCTTCCATACTGCCTGGCTATTAACTGCCTCATGCAGATACATTTCTTGTATTATATGGGATGCGGGAAGCAGTTTCTTTATTTCCCTTTAAATTTATTATATGTCATTTAAAAACAATCACAAACAGACAGTATTACAAATCTTGTACCATCTTTTGTGCCACTTAGGCAATTTATTTATTCTCTATGCGTTATATAGCTATCCATCCATATACATGGATGTTAGAACTTTAATTCTGAGTTATTCTACTCTTTGAAGTTTCCTGCTTTTAAAACATGTATTCACAAAATAGTCATAAACTGCTGCTTCTTTCTCCTTGGCTTTTAAATAACACTAGACAGAAATATCTCAGTTAAAATAAGAAACACAAATATAATTTAACTGTTTCCGTTACAGGAGACACGGAAGTGCATTAAAATGTGTAGAAATGATATCAAGGTTTCTCCCTATGTTCTTCAGATTGTCCTGGCATGACATGTGATTGCTGTCATGATTTGTTACGGGACATACACATATTATTACAGGATTTTAAAAACTCTTCTTTCTGTGAAACTATGGCAGCCAACAAATTACAACAGTACTTTTTTACAGGTTTGAATATTGTTTTTCCTTGATGTGAGAATATGAAAGAAATAAGTAGGTATACATAAACTGGTCAACAGATGTAGAGTCTACATTGAAGTCAAAGATATAGAAAGACTCTTGCAACAGAAAGACAATCAAATCTCATTTTCAGAAATGAAAAACAAGAAGGAAAGTGGGATGTTAAGTCCTACCTTGGAGCATGGCCTGGAATGATCATATTGATTCGCCATGTACATATTTACTTAATCAAACAACAATCGATCATACAGTGTAGAAGAAGCAGCCAGTATAAGAAAGACTGTTTTCTTTGATACTGCAAACAAACCTTTCCAGCTGGTTCCAGGCACAGTCCCACAATCCTGGCTGTACTGGGTAATGTTACACCGATAACACAATAGCTCAGTTTGGCAAACTAGCCTGTTTGCGACACTCGGCATATGCCAAAACTACCCACATGTGTCTCCAAATCTAGTTTTTACTCCACACTGGCTTTCATGGTTTTTTACAGATGGTGCCACGCAGAGATGAGAGAGCTAGGTTCAAATATGGCCGGAGATACCCAAAAGAGCCACATCCCAGCCTCTTCGCTTCCCCTTTTTGACGGAAGACGAGTTGGCCAGGCAGCAGCCATTTTGCATGCCTCAAAAGAGGGAGGGAAAAAAGGGAGGGGAGACAGAAGCCAGAAGATGTGTTTGTGTTCAAGTTAGGAGAGAATCATCAAAGCTCCAGAGATATACCTTCACGTGCTGCTGCTGAACTGAACAACTAAGCCTAAAAAGATCAGTTTTTGAGGTTTCCAGCATGCTATTGCTTATGAAGTTTGAATCTGCTGATCTTAAAGGAGACACACATCTTTCTTAGGACTAGTTTACTGCTGGCACGAGTAGAAGCATGATTCAGCTTATACTTCTTAGCCAAAAAGGGACACACACACACACGCACAAAAAAGTATGTGGAAAAATTCCCAGTGGGAAGAAAGCAGTGTAATGGAAACCACGTGGCAGTGTCAAAATTTACTGACCTTCCCCTGATAGGAAACTGCACAAACATTTCATTAAAGACACAGTAAGGGTCTCCTCAATAGATGGTCTTGAGTGAAATGGACACTACAGCTTCTAGACTGGTTCTGCCAC